ATTAACCTGGTAAGTTGATTAACTATGCTGAGTCTCAGTGTCCTCAACTGTAAAAACAGACTGCTACAGTTCTACAACCGGAATAGAATTTTAAAAACAATAACACATGGTAAGTCCTTAGTTGGATCATAGTATATATTCACCATTTATTGAACTCTGCAGCTAAAGCTGATGATAACTGCTTCTGCTTCTACTCCAGGACTTAGGCAACTGTGATGACTAACAATTTGCAAACCAAGAAAAATTAACATTGTTGCTTTGTTTGATTTCAAATTATGACATTCTTCACTTAAAAATTTATTCAGAGACTAGGTAAAAGGTACTCATACTAAGTTATTATTAAATGGAAAATAAAAGAGAAATAAAATAAACCTTGCCCTGAAAGAGCTTTTAAGGAGAACAGGGGAGCCAGAGCACAATCATACAAATTCGAACACAAAAGGAACATTAAGGAACAAAACACAAGACACTGGCAGAAGTGTCCTACAGAATGCTTTTACAAAAAGCCTCTTAAAGAAAGCAACTAGCTGGGCACAGTGGAGAATGCCTGTAATCCCAGTGGCATGGGAGGCTGAGGCACGAGGATCATGAGTTCAAACCTATTTTAGTGAGGCACTTAGCAACTCAGTGAGACCCTATCCTTAAATAAAATATAAAAAGGGACTGGGAATGTGGCTCAATGATTAAGCACCCTGAGTTCAATCTTCATGGAAGGAAGGGAGGAAAGGAATGAGGGAGAAAGCAACTAGCAGAGTGTGTGGCTATAATTCCAGCAGTTGGGAGGCTGAGGTAGGAAGATCACAAGTTCAAAGCCAGACTCAGCACAAGAGAGGTGCTAAGCAACTCAGTGAGAAATTGTCTCTAAATCAAAAATACAAAATAGGGCTGGGGGTGTGGCTCAGTGATTGAGTGCCCCTGTGTTCAATACCACCTCCCACTCCCCCAAAAAAGAAAGCAACTAAATTTCAAATGAAATTTGAAGGATAAAAAGGAGCCAACTTGCAAAGAACTGTCCACAGGACTGTCTACTAAATATCAAAGGCAGGAAGAAGCTGGTGGGCTTTTGGAAATGAAACAAGGCAAATGTATAGACCACAAAGAAGGAAGCATAGCAAAAGTTGAAGCTAAAAATCAATAGAGGAACCAATTCACGTAGTGACTTTTGTATATATTAAATTTCTATTTATTTTGTTTTCAATTTTTGAGATGGGGTCTCACTATTCTGTCCAGGCTGGTCTCAAACTCCTGGGTAGTTTGATCCTCCCACCTCCCACAAGCAGCCACCATGCCAGGCATAATTTTGTATTTAAAGTGCCATTGCCTATAACTTTTAAGATAGAAAATGATGAGATCTGATTTTCATGTCACAGCTTCTTCAAAAAGAAAAAAAAAAACCAGACAAGGGATCAGAGGGGGACAAGTGTGAAAGAAGAAAGCTCAGTTACGACTATTACAATCATCTACAATTTGGGTGTTCCTCAAAGTTTATGTGGTTTAAGAAAAGATGAAATGAAAGAAAAAAGGCAGCAACAATGGATTTCTAAAAAGATGAACATGCATTCAGATACTATGACAGTATATTACTCTCAACTTTTATATGCATCTTTTGAGGGCCAAAAATAAAAAGGTTATAAACTAAAACTGGACAGTTTAACATACACTGTTAAAGAAATGATGATCTTGAGTAGGGGTAAAGAAAAACGAATGAAGTAAGGCTCTGTAGATATTTGTAGATAAATCTGACAAGAATCCCACTGACAGATTAGGAAAGGGATAGGAAATATGAACAATAAATAATAACATCTAAGTTTTTGTCTTAAAAAACAAGAGTTGGTGGTTGTGTCACTTATTTATGAAGAAGCAGGAAAGTGTAGAGTAAGAGATCTTGGGGAAAAATATCAAGGAAAATCTATTTTGATAGTTTTAAATGCCTATGGTATACCGAATATAGAACAGAGAGTTAATATAAGATACCAGAGGTAAGAAGAGATGTCTAATTGAAGACACAAATTTGGAAATCATCAGCACATAGACTTAAAAGTATACAATGAGTACAGAAGTACTTCAACCAGTACCTGGATTATAACTGGATGACTAGGTCAAAATTTATATAAAATATGCAGGAGATCTACTCACCTCAGAACATCTAAGAATTAGAAATAAAGAAAGCTGGAAGTATGGGTGTGCACGTATTAGGAAACAAAGAAAAATATGTTCAAGAGATTTAATCAAGCTATAAAAAGGAAATAATACTGAGTACTATGGCCTATTCAAGACTTATAACTTTTAATCCATTGGAAAAATTGGATTAAACATTATTCATTGGTCATTATACTTCCTAAAGGAACTTAAGTTTGGGAGTTTTAATAATATTTTCATTGTAAAGTGTTTAAAATGTTTTATTTGCCTATAGGCTTTGCCTGGAACAGTATTAAGTGGAATGACAGAATTAAGTAAACATTTGACAGAAAAATAAAGTAAAATTTTTAAATGTTCAAAAATGGAACTCCATGCTTGAGGTGCTTCATTCACTCAAAGAATTGGTGGTTCAGTCCCCAATTTCGAAAAGATCCAACCTAACAAAATAACATAATTCTATAATCCCTCATCTACTGCAAATTACACTGTCAGGTGTGTTTTGGGTATTCATGTTTGTTTGTTTGTTTTACGATTAAAAACTAGTGATATAAGTGAACATGTCAAGTCAACCAATATCCCTTCAAAACTGGGCAGTACTCCATAAGCAAATGCACTTAACATCTCTGCATCAAAACAAAAATATTCTCAAAAATAATAAGGACAATTAAAGATTTCAAATTGCTAACATCCATTCAAATAATTTCTTATTGACAAATGAATGCTAAAGACTAATTTCTTTTAGAATGATAGATAAGTATTGTGGACAGATAGTGTCATCAAGAGTAAATGGAAAGAAGAAGAGAGTTTACATGGATAGGCATAGGAATACCTGAAATATTAAGAGACTTATAGTTCAGATTAAGTTCCATCAATTTAATCTCCACTGCACTTTGGTAGAGCAATTGAAAAAGTATGATGAATATTCAGAGTTGAAAAGACTTAGAACCTCTTATTTTCCTCAAGATCGTATTAGAACCTAGCCTCAAGAACTTCCATTTTATCTCACACTTTTGAACAGAATGTCTTCCCCTACTCCTCTCTTATGTATGCTGATTTTGAGAAAATGTGAAGTAGAAAAGTTTTATTTATTTATTCTGATAGTGCTAGGGATTGAACCCAGGGGCACTCCACCACTAAACCATTATCTCCAGCCCCTCTTTAAATTCTATTTTGAGATAGGGTCTTAAATTGTTGAGGCTAGCCTGAAACTTGCAATTCTCCTACTTCAGCCTGCCCAAGTAGATTGTATTACATGAAAAACAACACTCCACAACTGGAGACAATTTTAAACCACGGAACACCAATCTAGGTTAAGAATCCTCTTCACCTTTTACATAATTTCTGAATTTCTCATGTGATCTTCCTTAGAATGACAAACCACAACCCCTATCCCACACTTCCAAAGATCAACAATTCTGTCTATGATTCAACTGCTTCTACAATGTTTCTATACTTAATAGGTAGTTTTCCACTCCTTCATCCCTATTTCCTTCACTTTTTCTTCCTTCCTGAAAAGAGCTCCTTTAGCCTCACCCTAGTTTCTGGCAAAGGCCCTAATACATGCAAGGCATTTTAACATCATCTATTGAATTTAACTGTTCTTCCTTATACTCACAATGGCTTTTGGTGTGGCCATCTACAGTTCTGTCATCTGAAATAAATTAAACTCAACTGATGGAGCACTCCTTCTCTCCTCAAAATAAAAGGTATGACAAAGACTTCAAGAAAACCCACTGAGAGAGAGAGAGAGAGAGAGAGAGAGAGAGAGAGAGAGAGAGAGAAAGATACACACAGAGTCTAGTCATCTAAGAAGAGATGAAGAACACAGTGAAATTGCCTGCAAAACCATTTCAATATAAGTCTCATGTAATCTCAACACCATACTTCTGAAGCACCTCCAGAAATAATTAATATTTATAATATTCATAATTTTAGAATATGCTCATGTGGGAAAGTACAACGAATAAAAAGATACCCAAGTCTGTACAGTTGGTACTGCCAAATTTATGAGAAATATCACCTAGTAAAATTCTTGCCTATGCTTTTCCAACACTTTCCCTTTTCTTGTGACTTTCGACACACTGAGGTTAAAAAGGAAGAAGTGTAGGCTATCATTGATGTTGGGTTAAATATAAAAACCAAAACACTTATAATGATACAATATTGGTATCTAGATACATTTTTAAAGATTATTCTTTTTAGGTAGTAGGAAAAGAAGGAAAAACAACTTCATTGCTATCTTTACTTAACATATATTTTTAAAATGCTTATAGAACTTTTTGTGCTCAATAATAGAGATGTCTGAAATTCTATACATCAAAGCTGCACACCAGTCTAGTAAAATTATGATGCTGTGCTTCTGTATAAAAACAAAAATCACATTTGCACATACTAGGATAGGGAATTGGTTAGACAAGGAATGCAGTCTTAATTTTAAACTCATTTTTAAAGTGATTTTAAACTCTTTGCAAATATACCTGTTTATTCAAGTAAATATTTAATGTATAACTTTAAAGTATGGTGCTATAAAACCTATTTTAGTGTTATATACTATTTTATCAATGACCTTTAAATCAAATTGGGGAAAATATCCCTTCAGTAAAGAATATTATAAGTTAGTCTGGGAAATAAACAATTTAGCACACTTTTTATTTTAGCTTTTTTATGTTTCTATGCTAAAAATAGAAAGATTTATTGATGATTCTGACCAAAGTGTAGCAAGCACGGTATAAATATGATCATAGTTTTGAGGTCTGCTTCAGTAATACTGATGTTCAACTTGAAGAATAAAGAACTTTCAATGTATCCTCAGTAAAATTTCAGTTTCTGGAAAATAACGAAAACCAGATTCATATTTTTACCTGGTCTTGGTACTGGCTGTGCTGCAGGAGTCTGAGTCTTACGGGCAGATGCACCTTCCTTTAAAAGAATAAAGATTTACATATGACATCAAAGTTCCTTTATGTAATAAACACTGTATTACAAAGAAATCTTGTCTCTCTATCAATCACTCCACCAAACCTTAAGAGTTTGAAAAATTTAAAAAAACAAACATTTTTTTTATGTTATTAGTCATGAGGTATAGCAATAACAATCTATGGTGGAAAACAGAATTTAAATAGCATAAAAGTTACTGTAATAATTTTTAATTGCTGACAATTTTAAAACTCTCAAAAATGTCATTACCTGTTTTAAAATAAAACCAATCATGGGGGAGGGGGCAGAGAGTGGGTATTGGGGATTGAACTCAGGGGCACTCAACCATTAAGCCACATCCCCCGCCCTATCTTGTATTTTATTTAGAGATAGGGTCTCACTGAGTTGCTTAGCACTTCGCTTTTGCTAAGGCTGGCTTTGAATTTATGATCCTCCTGTCTCAGCCTCCCAAGCCACTGGGATTACAGGCGTGCACCACAATGCCCAACTATCCCCCTCCCCACCAAAAGTCTCAAAATGAACAAATGATACATCATCTCATGTTTAAAAGACATAAAAAGTACTACTATTATTACCCATGGAAATTTTTATCTACTTTTGAGTAAGCTCAAACTGATCCCTTTATACACCAATAATGGCTATTATCTGTTTGCCTACTAAGCAATCTTTGCTTGGTGTCTAATCACTCCTTTTTGGCAATAATACCTATCCCCTGGTTACAGGGGAAGGTCAATCAAAAGTCATTCTCTGATATTACCTTTTATAAACAGCTAGCTGGTTAGACCACTAATCACAAGACTAAGCTGGGAGGTATGCCTAGAATCACTGGTGATCACATACCTTGACTCATAGAGAAAACTCTCTGGCAAAAGGAGAAAATAAAAATCAAATGCAAGAAAAGAGATAGAATACAATCCTCTTCTTAACGCCTAATATCTAGTTCTAGTGGCCTGCAAGGTCTGTTTTACCTCTTACCACTCTTCATTACATAAGCCATTAAAATCCCCCATTATCTCACCACTCTACATACCCCACATACCCCGTTAAGCTTCAATTAGTTGAGTAGAATTCCTGTCAGTTGCAAAAGAGAATTTTATCTAATGTTGTCTTCTTTGGTTAATAAAAAGTGAATTGTCAAAATCATTATAGCATAATTTTGATTCATTTTTGAGTTAGTACATATATACTCACACACATACAAAACTGTGATGATCCTTACTAATCGTGCCATTAATTTATGACCATTTCTAAGATTCCCTAACCATCACTAGGTTAAAAGCACAGTATACTCTGATCTCCATTATTTTGAAATAAAATTGTATAAATCACTGCAAAGAACCTCAGAAACCATATAATCTAATCCCACTACTCTCTACTCTAAACATGAAGAGATAAAGGTGAAATCGTTTTTCTAAAGATGAAGTAATTTTTAAAGGCTGCATAGCAATTTATCTGGCATATATTAAAGAAAGGATAATACTTTGGCAGTAATATGAAACAGACTGAGAGTTCTATATTTTTAAATATATTTGGGTTGAAGAAAAAATAATACCCCATCATAAAAAGAAAAATATTAGCACAAAAACAACCAATCGAGCTGACAAGTTGTGCTAGCTGAAGAGGAAAACCTGCTTTCTCTTGAAAACTCAGAAGCAATTACAAATGCACCGAGACTTGAGACATTCTGGAAAGGAAATAATTGAATTAAAATGAAAGGGAAAATAGTGATAGAATCATATTTGCAAACAAAGCATAAGACTACAAAACAAGGTATACTATTTACAAGTAATTCTTGTTTGCTTTATTGCAGAAAAAGAGGTAATCTAAGATCTTTTGGTACTAGGAGACAGAGTTCCAGTATTTGCTGCTTTTTTAGAAAAAATATAATACTGTAAGAAAAAATATTTCATAGCAAATGCCAGTATGAAAAATATATCAATTAATTTTAAGAAGTCCCATTTACATAAAACAATGAAATACTGAAAACTCTTAATAGAACACATGCAGACTCTAAAATTTATGTCATTTCCGACTATTAGTAAGAGCAAAAGTCACAAGTTTTTAAAATTAAATAAACATAAAATGTGCTCTAGCATACTTTTTACCTTTATTTTTTAAAAGTTAAGTTATTCCTATAAAGTTTGAATTTGATAATTAGAATTCCCAAATATTAGAATGTTTACTTAAATATTTGAATATCTAAGTACTTTTAAATGATTCTTTTGGGAAAAACTACTGTAGAAAAGAGAAACAGCAACAGTGGGGACAAATTAAAATGAGGGTAAATACACAAAAGATTTCAGATACAAAATACTTCAACACAAATAGTGGTGTATTTTTTAGACTTACCATAACCCAGAGGCATTAAGTATCCAATGTTTGCTAACTGCAGAAAATAGTTAACATACTTAAAAAGTAAGTATTCCCTACCTTTTAACATGCATATGAAGAGCTCTGGAATTGAAAATAAATGAAAACCTTCTCTTTCATGTCAAACCTCCAGCAGCTCTATCCACAAAAGTAACTATTTAAATGCTTGGTCATGTTCTCATTCACTATCCAAACTCAAAACAAAATGATAAATACAGATGTAATATCTATAAGTGAAAAATATTAAACTACAGAAACCAGCAACTTGTTAGAAATCAATGGCTAGTAAGCAGCTAAACAAATCTGAGCCTTTTTTAATGCTAAAGCCTATGCTCCTAACTATCACTCTTCTATGAAGACTCCCCTTGGAGATATGTATTTTCTCTCCTCCCACAATCATCAAAATGGTACTCCTTTAGGCTTTTTTTTGGGGGGGGGGGATAACTCTATCAAATCTCTTATGTTTTACTCTGTTTTGTGCTTCCATAACAAAATATCATAGACTGGGTAATTTATAAATGAGACAAGTTTATTTCTCACAGTTCTAAGTCTTAGGAACTCCAGATCAAGATCCTTCAAGGTTCTTACAGGTCTGGTATATGGTTAAGGGCTGCTGTAAGACTGTACCTACTGCTACATACACTAGAAGAGACAGACAAGGTGTTCTCACATAGTAAAAGAAAGGAAGATGGGCCACCCCCCCCAAAAAAAAAAAAAAACTACACACAAGGACTTGAGCTACTTCCCTCCAAATCTTTTATAAGGTACTAATCATTTCATAAACCTGAAGCCTTCATGATTTAATCATTATCCAAAACGCATATAATTTAATACCACCACAACGGGGATTAAGTTCCAACAGGTGAATTTTAGGAGACATTCAGACCATAACAACTCACTATGCCATCTATTTATTTGTGTTTCCCACAATCCGAATGCAATTACTTGAGGTTAGGAACTGTTATGTCTCCAATGTCTGGTGTAGAACCTCCAATGCCTGGACATGGGAGAGCTTAATGCATATATATATTTGTTTTAGAATCACTGATTCACCACCATTACTTAAAATACTTTTATCCACTAAACAAAGACAGAAATAACGATCATGCAAGATTTTCAAGAGAATATAAAACATTCATTCACTCAAGAATATCCCAGTGTCAAATAGGAAACGGGTCCACTTTAAGCTCTGAATATAATCCTTACCGCTCTGCCACTGTAACTTATTTTTAAAATAGACATGTTTCTTTCTCTTCCTCTCTCTCTGCTCTTCCCTAATCTCTCCCCCTCCAAAATCTCAGGGGAAACAGAATTATCATTCTTCCCCATCCTAGACAGAGTCATAGAAAAGAAATAATTCAGACTTTGAGGATGGTACTAGAAGATCTCAGAAATGACTACCTCCCACATTTACAAGTGAATTACAACTCCAGACAGAGAACATGTGGAATGTGGCCTTTGAGTCACCTCTTAAAAGTCCCCTGGTTCCTGCTGATGGGCAGAATCGCAAGACTTTGGGACAAGAGTTCCCTGTGTTTCTCATTTGCTAGCAAAGCAGTAAAACCTTCTTTTTTCTTTTTCTCAAAACCATGTCCTCATTATTGGATTGGCATCACAGACAAGGACCAAGTTTTCGGCAACAAAACTAGGAAAGCAGCAGTATAAACAAGAGCAAGATTGTTCCTGCCATCGTAAGGATTACAATCTAGTGGAAGATATTGGTAATAAATGAATAAACAGATGAAGAAATATTTAAATGGAAGGGGGGTAGTCATTTGTCATATGTCTATTTGTGCGTGTGTATGTTCAATTCTGTGCCCAAAGCAAAGTGGGACTAATAACTGGTCAACCATCTTTCCAAAAAGAAACATTCTCTGGGGGCCAGGATGGTGGCTTAATGGTACAGCACTTGCCTAGCATGTGCAACGCATTGGGTTCAATCCCCAGCACCACATTTAAAAAAAAAAAAAACAGAAACAAATAAAATAAAGGTATTGTGTCCATCTACGACTAAATGTATGTGTATATGTATGTATGTACATATGTGTGTGTGTGTACATATATACACACACATACATAAATACATATTAAAAGAAAAAAAGAAACATTCTCTATACAGGAATACCCAAAGAACTAACAAACAAAAAAAATCAGCACCATATTAAAATTATACATTATGACCAACTAGATTGATTGCTGGAATGCAAGGATGTTTTAACGTATAAAAACCAATCAACATAACACATTAACAAAATAAACAGGAAAAAATACCACCACACCAATAGTACGACCATTTCAACTGATGTAGAAATTACAACATTCAACACACTTTTGACAGATTAAACAACAGTAACAATAACTCAAGAAATAAGAATACAAGGAAATGCCCTCAACATAATAAGTTATATATGAAAAACCCAAAGTTTATATCAGATTCATGGTGAAGAACTGAGAGCTTTTCTTAATCTGCATCAATCTACTTGATCCAAATCTATTCATAGTAATTAAAACTTTGCCCTTGGAATATTATATTCATTTTCTTCACAGTTACAGACAAAATTGGAACACATACTGCTAGTGGGTAACATTACAAAGAAGTAAGACATTCATTG